CTTTCAAAATGGTGCGCCCACCCCCTCCCTTCCTCTCCCCTCAATATACACAACAACACCACCACGAACAATATACTAACAATGGATATTAAATGAATACAGTCGGACGGAGAAGAGACCCAATCCAACCCCGTTGTCGCCGCCGATGAGGTCGAGGTTTCGGCCGACGCTGGCGCCGGTGGCCAGATGTCCGTCCTGGATGCCCTGAAGGGAGTTCTCCGTATCTCTCTCATCCACGACGGACTTGCCCGTGGTCTGCGCGAGGCCGCTAAGGCCCTGGACCGTCGTCAGGCTCACATGTGTGTCCTGAACGAGGGCTGCGAGGAGGAGGCCTACAAGAAGCTTGTTGTGGCTCTTTGCTCCGAGCACAAGATCCCCCTCATCAAGGTCCCCGATGGAAAGATGCTTGGCGAGTGGGTTGGTCTTTGTAAGTACCCTTTGGTTCCTTTGAAGATTTGACCCTTGCGGGGGTCGTGTGGGTGATGTATTTTGCTAATTGGGGTTTGTGGTATAGGCCAGCTCGACCGTGAGGGTAACGCCCGCAAGGTCGTCAACTGCTCTTGCGTCGTCGTTAAGGACTGGGGTGAGGAGTCCCAGGAGCGCTCTGTCCTCCTTAACTACTTCCAGACTGAGCAGTAAATTGCTCGTTTTTCCATGAAGTCTGAGTTGTGGTAGGGGTTTCACCTTTTTTTTTTTTTACCCCTGGGTGGTATGGTTCGGTCGGTGGTGGGGTCCGCGGGGGTTTTGTATGTGGTCGGCGGTGAGGGATATCTTTGGGGAGGGACGGGGTTTGTGAATTCGGTTTTACGGGCTACGGATCTCTCTTGAGTGTGCGTGCTGCTACTGCTGCGCGTGTCTCTTGCTACCTGCATATTACCCACCTGTTGTATCTAGCTACGATTTGGGTGTCTCTTTATGATGACGTGGATCAAACAATTGACGGATCATGGTACTCTAATGTTTCTTCTTTCCCTTAGGGGGTTGGTGGTAGGAGCGCGTAGATTCACAATGTGTAGAGTGATGTAATGTAATTGGGGTAATATTTGCACAATTTGACAATGAATGCTGATACTGGTATAAGAACACCCGGCTATGCAAACATTGTCCCGTCCAACGCCATGATAAAGCAAAGCCCAAGATTAGCAGTTTACATATGATACGAATATAACAGACAGCTGTGCCGTAGGCTGTTGTTCAAAGGTTAGCGGAACCCGTATGAGGGACGCACCATTTTCTTCGACTCTGGCTTCAATGACAGCTGCTGGTATGGCGAGCTGCCCGGATCGTAATATAACCCTTCAATATTGCCACTTTGCCGGTTCAGTGAGATATAGTAGAATCCCGAAATCGTCAGTCCTTGTCGGGAGTCGGTGGGTGTGATGAAACAGCGTTCTAAGGCTCTTATATTAGTTTTATCTTGAAGACTCTCTCTTAATCGAAACTCACCCTTCCATCTCATCAGTATCCACTGCTTGGATAACTGCTCCGTTACCCACTTCCGACTAACGAGTTTCCGCGTCATTTCCTCATCGCTCAAGTTCTTGAATGGCTGCAGCTCCCGCCAATATGTACTGTCAATCTCCGCATCTGCCTTGAAGTTCTTCGTTTCGAGCGTGTGTTTGTTAAAATCAATAATCTCCCCCTCTAGATATGTGACGATATGTGCATCATGCGCCGGGGTCGTTTTGTCCGGTATGTTGTATGCTTCCATGGTACCCGACAGCGTCATATCGTCCGGGTTGATACTATGTATGGTGACCTTTACCGGCCAGTTCTCGTCCTTACCGCCTCCGAGGTGGTATATATTATTAGCCAGGTACCGTCGTCCTGTTGTGGTATATACACTGATGCGACTGTTGTCACTCCCATTGACAATCATCGGGTCCTGGGATGCGGACGGGCTGAGCCCTCGTTGTGCAAAAAGCGAGCTCGCACTGCTGGCAGCCCGCTGCGACCCCGAAAAGACCATACCGGGACGAAGCCATGAACTGTCTGGCGGCGGCGCTATCGAACTGATGTCGAGGATAAAGTCATCCTCGTTCCCGTTGAGGAAATCAGTATGAACAAAACCCCCTGCCGCCGCTGAGGTGAGGCTTTCCTCAAACGAGGTAGAGTACCGCAGGCGATCCAGATATAGGATGGTCTCCTTCAGCCGTGGGTTTGGAGGGTTGTCCATATGTAACTGTCGATGAGCGCTTATCCGAGCGCGTAGGTCATTGTGAGTCAGAAATCGTTGCGACTCGCCCCGGGCACTGGGAAGGAAGCGATATGCTCGTGAGGCTGATGGAGGACCTGGTCGCTCTCGACTTTCATCTGACTCCTGGGAAGCTCGTTCCCGCTCTAACAAATATTCGTGAAGCGCCCGCGCGCGCGTCCGCGAACCCCGCTGTTGGCGTCGCACTGACTGTAGGAAAGCCTCTGTTGTCGAGAGGGCTGGATCGCTTTGGCGAATGAGACTGCTATCGGAAGGTTCGTCTGGCAAAGCTGGAGGACTTCGACCGGCGGCATCCCGGCGCGCGTGGCGACGAGCAGCTGCGTAGCGATCGGAGAATCGGCCGAACCATGAGATCGTGTTACTTTCGTGAAGCGGCTCGTAGCCTACATCATCGTCGTCATCATCAGAGGCCGGAGCCCAGCCGTACACCGAGCGTGAATTCGACATCTGACCTTCGTAGTTGGGGAGATTAGTCGGGTTGGGGTTGCCGGAAGTGTCGCGTTGACGGCGCACGATAGGGATGCGGCGGTTGATTTCGATGCGCAAGTGAGACGGGTCGTCCAGCTCCATAGGCTCTAGATCAAGGTCGGACGCGGTCTGTTGTCGACGTCGGCGCTGGCGACTGAGTGAAGAGGTCGAGTCTGGTGGGGAGCGCACACGAGATCGGAGAAAGCTCACGTTATCATCATGAGCGTCATCGGACACGGCTGCGGGGAGCGAAGGAACAGGCAAGGAGAGCGCGGTCAAAGGCCGAAAAGAAGAAGCGGAAGACGACAGAGCGGGGGGATCCTGTGATGAAGGAGAGAAAGTTAGAGTGGAAGCTCATCTGTCGATAGCATCAACTGAGTAAGGCAAGGCAACGTCACAACATCGGCTTGGTACTTCAATCCCACGGTCGTGCGCAAAGTCAAAGTGGCGACCGTCCCGAGGTATGGGATACGCAGGAACAATCAACATGCACGGAGGGCCAAAGCAAGTAGTGAAAACTTACAGATGGCGAGTTGACGGGGGGCATGATCTGAGTGAAAGAAATGGGTGTAGATCGAGTGGCGGCGGAGAGGCAGTCCGCCAGGGAGGAAGATGGGCAATACAAGAGCGCATCCACCAGGAGTCGGTCCAAGGAGAAAGAAAATCCCCGATAAATAGCAGCTCAAGACAGAGAGCGGGGGCGAGTGAACATAAATTCCCGACCGTTGGAAGGGTGCAAGAGACGAGCGGCGATGCCGAAGCAGCAGAAAGTGAGGAACAAGTGAGGTTTTGACTTGCAGGAAGTTCGATTCCAAAGCAAATCCAAAAGCCGCCGGTCACTGGATTGCCTAATCGGGCACCCCTCGCCGACTTCTCGTTTTGCTACTTCTTTGGCTTTACTTTCTCACAATGTTTATGCCAACTTCATGCCTTCATTATACTTGCTGACTTGCTTCCATGTCTACATTTTTGTCCCTGAACTCATCGCCATTCCTCGTATACAACGGGATTCATCCCTTCAATCCCCTGAAGCTGGGACCTGTGCCTGGACAGATCCCCGGATGTGCCCCATAGTGATACTCCACTAAAGCATCTAGATAATTACAACACCCACGGAGGCTACTCACTTTATCTCCAACTGAGAAAAGTCCTGCACGGTCATATCATCCATCTTCGCAAAACATGCAAGGGATTCTCATTCGACTCCACTAATGAGTACTTCACGCCCCGAAATCATGTGGACTAATGCAGGATGACAGCGTCCGTCTATAAGCCGAGTCCACTATGGCTTTAACGGTGCGTTTCAAGCCAAAGCCAATCTCTTCTCATTCCTGGGCATTCTGCATGGTCTGGCCTTGGTCGATCGGATGCCGTGTCGCCAAGTTGCACCATTGCGAGACCCATCTATCCATACCCTTCGTGATGGAGCCAAGTTGTCGGTAATTCGGCCTGGTAGACGGAGCAACTCCGATTCCTCTTCACGATCATAAATAGTACTTATTGTCATTGTGTCTTCTACGTGATGTACCTGCCAGTCCACCAGGCGATTGATCCATCATCAACCAGCAAACATAGACCCTCGCCAGCATCATGGTCAAGATCAAGTCTATCGAGTACTTCCGCGTCCCTCCCCGCTGGCTCTTCGTTAAGATCGTCGACGAAGATGGCCAATGCGGTTGGGGCGAAAGTACTTTAGAAGGCCATACCGAGGCCGTCGAAGGCACATTGAATGCACTATGCAAGAGATTTCAAGGCTACGAAGCAGAGTACATATCCACCAACCCTGTTGGGCAAGCCATGCAGCTAACCTCGAGTGACCAGTGACATTGAGCACATATGGCAAATGGCCTGGCGTCTGGGTTTCTACCGCGGGGGCCCGGTTTTCATGTCCGCCATTTCAGGAATTGACATCGCACTCTGGGATCTGAAGGGCCGTCGACTTGGCGTCCCCATCTACCAGCTCCTCGGAGGCAAAGTCCGGAACAAACTGTCCGTCTATGCATGGATTGGAGGAGACCGGCCCTCCGATGTCGAAGCGGCCGGGAAAGCTCGTCTCGCGCAGGGCTTCAAAGCCATCAAGATGAATGCCACTGAGGACATCAACTGGCTCGATTCCCCTCGTGCGTTGGACTCCTCCGTTGAACGACTGAAAGCCGTCAAAGCTCTCGGCTTAGACGCAGCCCTCGACTTCCACGGCCGCCTTCACAAACCAATGGCCAAACAGCTCGCCAAAGCCCTGGAGCCGCACCGCCCTCTTTTCCTGGAGGAGCCGCTCCTCTCTGAACACCCCGAAGCGATCAAGCAGCTATCAGATCAAGTTTCTTGCCCTATTGCCCTTGGCGAGCGTCTCTACAGTCGCTGGGACGTTAAACGCTTCCTGGAAGACGCGAGCGTCGACATTCTCCAACCTGATATCGCTCACTGCGGAGGCATCTCCGAGCTACGACGCATAGCGTCCATGGCGGAAACGTACGATGTTGCGATTGCCCCGCATTGCCCCCTGGGGTCCATTGCTTTGGCGGCATGTATGCAGGTGGACTTGGCGACCCCTAACTTTGTCATTCAAGAGATGAGCCTGGGAATGCACTATAATACGGAAGCGGGCGAATATGATATCACTAGCTATGTCAAGGATCCCAGTGTGTTCACCGTTAAGGATGGATACGTGGATGCTTTGACGGCACCGGGATTGGGGATTGAAGTGAACGAGGAGCTGGTCAGGCAGTTGGCGGTCAATTCTGAACCTTGGCCGCCTAAGGAATTCTTTGGACCTGATGGAGGGATCCGGGAGTGGTAGTTTGCTCAAAATCCTTTAGCGTATCTAGCATAGCGTGAATGGACGGTATTGACATATACAACAACATGATGAAACGGGCTATGCAGTGCTTCCTCTATCTAATAAATCTATGTACTCTTCATCGAGATAAATTTCTCAATGTTCTAAAATCAGTATCGCCATTAGAAGAAAAGTCCCGCATAACACATGCCGCAAAATCATCATTAGGCCTTCCTTGCCGCATTGCACTCATCCGCCCGCTTAATGCAGTCGTTGATCATATTCCAGAACGCATCCAGATCCACACCACGAGGAATGCAAACCGCATTGGGGTTCGCCTCAACCACAGACCGACCCAGCGAGCCCACCAGCGCAATATCAGTGCCATGAAGTCCGTCCGTGATGACATTGACGGAGAAGCGCTCTCCGCCGCGGTCGTCGAACTTCAGGACCTGGTCGGGGTGGTTCTTCGCGTAGCCAGGGTTCAGGGTCGACAGAATGACCGCCACAGCAAGGGGATCGTGCAGGGGAGGACCAGTGGAAAGACCGAAGACGGTTTCGTAAGTGTTAGCGAAGAAGATCAAGAGCTCGTACAGCATCTGACGCAGGGTGGTGGGCTGGACGGAGGCATCGTCCACGCCGTGGCGGACGAGGTTCCGGACGCTCTGGTCGGCAAGGACTTGGTGGGTGAGGTCGAGAGTGATCAGGGTGGTCTTGGATGCGACGACTGGGTCGCTGAAGATAGCTTGGGAAGCTTCGGGGTCACACTAATTTTATATGGCGTTAGTGATGGTAGATACAGGAGGTCGGTGGCTTGAGAGAGGGTTGCCTTGTGGGGTAGTAGTAGTATAGGGAACATACGTAGATGTTAAACTCAGCAAGAGGCGTTACGTTGCCAATTCTGTTCTCTTGTCCCTTGAGTCTGCTCATGGGAGCATCGGTGAATCCTTCACCAACACCGCCACCCATGATGGTCAGACCGGCAATGTGCTCCGCAACCTCCGGGAAAGTCGCGAACAAGAGGGCAACGTTGGTCAGGGTGCCGGTTGCAACAACCCATGGTGTGCCCTTGGGGTGCGCCATGAGGGCATCCCGCATGGCCAGAATGGGGTTTTTGTCTGTGATTGGGGCCGTCGAAGCCTTGGGCAGAAGGTCGGTACCGTCCAGACCAGAGTCACCTACATTCCGCAAAAGTTATTCTCAAGGGTTCCTGCTTTGAGGGAAACACAATTATGAGCAATGCTTACCGTGAATGTTGGGCGCATGGAGGGCGGGTCTGCAGAATGGCTTCTTGCTTCCGGGGTACACGGGGATCTCTGGCCGGCCGATGGCCTCTAAGACGCGAGTGGCATTGATGGTGGTGTTCTCCAGTGAAGCATTGCCGTGGATGGTGGTGATACCGAGAAGCTTCAGCGAGGGGTGGTGTGCAGCAAGAAGGATGGCGAAGGCGTCCTATAGAAATGCCAAAGCTCTTCAGTGGTTAACCTTGTATACCATGTGTTGATTTTCTCCTGAGTCATAGGTCATACTCACATCGTGGCCTGAGGACCTGTTAGCGTGGTTATACTTGGATGAAGAAGGAGTACCTACCCGGATCACAGTCCAGCCACAAGGGAATTGGCGTATCCACTGAAGAAGCCATTTTAAAGCCTGATCTAGAGGGAATAAAAGAAAAAGGAGGGGAGGCCGAGATGCCAGCGAAAAGGCGATTGCGGGGATTGCTGGCAGATAAGAAAACCCCGTGCCGATAAGCCTTATCAGCGGACACGGGGCTATGTCAGCCCTAAGCCCTACCTTCCTGATACGGAAGGGACAGAGCGTCATCCCTCCAAGTCCGTCGCAGTTGCCGCGGCCTGCTGCTCTTGCTTCTCCTACCTGATGGCATTCTCATCCGGAGCGCCTTTCTCTCCGACGACTTGGTTCTTGTCTCTGTCCTGTACATACTCGTTATCATATCGGTCTACTCTTTTCGCTCCCGTTCTGCCTGCTTTCCTGCGATGAGATGACCAGCGACCCTCTCCGCCCGGGCCTCCATCCGCTGTCGCATCTCAAAGCTGGTCCAACCACCTCCAGCTCGAAGTCGACTGCTGTGCCCTCATCTCCGACCCTGCAGTCTTTTTCCCAAGCTCCGACGCGCCCGCAACCAGTCAAATATGCTAGTCGAGAGGATCCGGTTAATGCGACGAGCGACAAGGCGACGATTGCTCTAATTCGACGCATCCTATGTCCCCAAGCTGGTAACCATGGGGGTGCCACTACTCCTCAACCTCCGGAAGATCTGCTGCCTCCCCTAACGAGCTCAAATGAGGTAGATCGTCAGCTTTATGCGCTTATTGCTATCATCGTCAAAGAGTTTGTGTTCACCTGGTACTCAAAGATCACTTCGGATCAGGTGATCGTGAGCGAACTCCTTCAGGTCATTGCGCACTGCACCCGCGCTCTTGAGCAGAGGTTGCGCGAAATCGATGTTGCGCAGCTGTTTCTTGATGAGATTCCTGCTCTCGTTGAGAGGCACGTTACATGTAAGACCTTGCGTCCTGTTAAACGTCCACTAAGGGTTGCATGAGTGCATGAGCTGACCGCGCCCTCGGTCGTCCATAGCATATAGACTAGCAAAGCAGCAATCAGAACAATCTTCGATATCTCCTCCGCTCCGCGAGATTTATCATGCTCTAAATCCGCATCCAGGCCTCTCACCGATCCCCGACCCATCAGATGCTCAAGCTGTTGCGCAGCAAAGAGAAAACGAATCAATTTATCGACAACTATTGGTCCACGGCATGTTAGCGGTGCTACTCCCCACGGAGGACCTGGAAAATGCTTCTTTGCGAACTCTGCTCGGTGACATCTTGGCAGATCTTGTGCTGGGCAATGCAGTGGCCGGGAAAATCAGCGAAGGATGGTTCTTGTGGGACAGTATCACGAAGGTGGTCGACAGGGTAGGGCGCAACGAACAGGAGGAGGATGTAGCGACTGCAACCCTGGGTCAACGATCCCGACTTCACAAGTACGGTCTCCTCTCTCAAGAAGCGTTCACGGAAGGTCATTCGTCGTCCCACGTCCAAGTGCCAGTTCCCGACTGGATCTGGCAAGCGCTACAATATGCCTACATGATCTACGTGACTTTACGTTTCATTGTGATCGGCCTGTTTCGCGTTGCATCCGCACCTCCGGTTACTGCGTCCCTGACACCATGCCCTCCAACCAGCAACGCGGACGGACCCCCCTCGTGCGCAACCTCCAAGAAGCGCCCGGTGCTGGACTACCGGTTGTATGGCATGGTCTCGCAAGTGATGGATGTGCCGCAGCGGATGCCTTGGCTGTGTGGAATGCTCGCACTGATCCAGTATCTGATCCTGGCCGGTCCAGGTAGATTGGGTGATACGGATAGTGTTCTTGATAGGTGAGTCGCACATCCCGATTTGAAATTTCTCAAACCCTCCCCCCCTCCATCATCACTCGCAAGCAATCTCCTACAGGCCACCGATGGCCGTTGGATTCAGATGGGTGTTTCGAAGCGCCAGACGGCGCGACCCTAAGGGGCATGTGGTGTCCCTACTGTGGAGAAGCGGTACGGTTGGATCTCCGAACCATGATCTACACATGTGTTTGCGAGAGTGACGGTCAGAGAGACCGCTGGTGCGGTGGTTGAGAAGCAAGCCATTGGAGTAAAGACGGCGGGCCAGCAGGAGCATGCAGGTGGGATGCGCATTGCGCGCATGCTGCAACGATCACTTGATCGCCTGGTGGATGGCTGCCCCCGCCCGCGCTCGTCTTCTCGACTCTCATTCGTCTAGCCCCTGGCCGTCCTGTCATTACCAACTGTGACCGGCGCGTATTGTTTTATTACCAGACGTGTACCGTCCGTTACGTGACACCGGCCTCTCGTCTGGCTTGCCAGTTCTGCAGACATCAATTTCCAGTTGATTAAATTGCTTGCTGGCTAGCATTTTGGGCGGGCGGGCGGGCTGGCTGGCTGGCTGTGCCCACACCCCCCGAGGGGAGAAAGAAGGAGCTTTGACATCCTCTGGTCATGCCATCCGGGACTGGGGTGTCTTCGGACATACCGAACTACTACTTACTTTCTGGTCTGGTCTGCAAGTCCGCTGCCGTCTGTCAATGGGTCTGTCAATTTGGGCCGTGGGCTGGCCCGACCCTTCCGTCCCGTCCAGCTCCAGCTCTCTTTTTTGTGTCGTGCACAACCTGGTCGGAGGGGCAGTCAAACAATGATCGCGGCATCGATCGCACAAAGATTTAGAGGGGAAACCGCAAAGGAAAAAGCAATTTTTGCACTACCAGCTAGTTGGCTACTTCCTTCGAAGTCAAATCGAGCGATTATTGCCCATCCCTGCCCCTGGAAATGGGCGTAGTCGAGGTCCTGGCCCACGGACCGACGCTAATGGGCATTCAAAATGAATCATGACGATCAGGCACCTATTGGTTGAGCGGAACGGTTTTACGACTTGGGGATTTGCATGGATAGGGCGAAATTCGTCCTGTTCTCCATTTTCGAGCCAATCAATCACCTAGTTCGCCCCCATTTCTGTCTTCTGAGATGGAATCCCGACTATGACTCGCCGGGCCCCTATGTGCGTTCAGACACGCCGGAGGGGGCCCAGGTTGGGTTTCCCCCGAACAACGCCTGAATCGTCATCTTTCTTTGCTCCGTCGCTGGATGGATAAAAAAATCCAAGGCGCTTGTGCTCTCAGTCCGCGACCTTGTCGTCATCTTCACCACTGGCAGCATCTCCATTCGCACCAATGGCTGGCCCAAGCTCCTGTACTGCCCCCTAGCCAAGCAGATCCCTCTTCTAGTGCTACTGGTCTTGCTCACTTTATCGGAGTGTGGCCGTCAGTACTATCCCGATGGGGCAAACCGCTTCTCCACAGTCTGAGATTCTGTCAAATGTCAACTGTTACCTCGGGGCTATTGCGGACCTCCCCGTGTGATTTGACTATTAACTCCTTGTGTTTCTTTCCCCTTCGGGATGACTGCCTTACCTCGAACCTAATTATCGTTTTTCCACTCCATTTTCATTGTTTTTTTTTTTTTTTTTTTTTTTTTTTTTTTTTTTTTTTTTTTTTTTTTTTTTTTTTTTTTTTTTTTTTTTTTTTTTTTTTTTTTTTTTTT